ATGTTTGAAATGGTTAATACCAGTTTTTCAACAAGGAATGTTACTGCTCACCCCATACTACCTACTGCAACAATGAGACTGAAAAGGAGGAAAATAATGATTGAAACAATAGTAGATGTTGGTCCATGTGGAAATGGAATGAGATAGCAGAAAATGAAAATCTCTGCCTTCCTTACTATGCTTATGACTTGTAAGAATTCAAAATAATGCTCTCACTTACTTGGTATTTTTAGTATAATTTTAAAGTATTTTAATTCTTCTTTTTTGTAGTACTTGGAACCACATGGACTAAAAATAAAAGGACATATATTGAAATTACTTTTATTCATTTAGAGCGAGGAACAGAGCCCATGCTTCTTAGTGGTCTCTTCAGGGCTTGTCACTAGTTCTTCAGGGAGGAAAAGGGCAAGGACACATATTTGCCATATTTCCTTAGAAGAATCTTCACTGAGATTTCTAACTTTGTAATTAAGAATTAAATCTCAGTGAATCTTAGTAATGTACGGAAGACAGTGCTGTGTCTGTACTCTGTGGTGTGTGATTAGTTCTCTTTGGTCAAATTCTCAAAAGCCCTGAATAACTGGCTGCCTGCTCTGTATTTTGAGAGCAGCACAGTAGCTCAGAACTAACTGATGACATCTCTTAACTTTTAGAATGAGACCAAGCCTGTGCAGATGATGTTCAAGAAGGATAGATTTAACATGACCTATATTGGAGACTTGCAGACCAAAATCCTTGAGCTGCCCTATGTCGGTAATGAACTCAGCATGATCATCCTGCTCCCTGATGCAATCCAGGATGGATCCACGGGCTTGGAAAGAGTAAGTTGTTGAGCTGAATGCAAAGAGAGCCTGTATCCTTCCAGGGACGAAAGTCTGGTATAGCACATAGATGTCAGTTTGGTTCCAGAGCTATTCTGTCCCTGATGCTCAATGCCAGCTGAAATGTCCAACAGTTCCCTGCCCCCAAAGTGACTAGCCCACCTGGTGTCACTGCTGCTCAAGCTGGGTGCTGCCTCCTTAGCCAGTGGCTCTGGAAGAAGATCTGACCCTCCTCAGGAGCAGAGGTCAGCTGTGGTTATGGTGAAGGTGTGGTATGGTGAGCATCGTAAGTGGAGAGGGGGAATTTGGGTGGTGTCTTAGGAAGTCCTGCGGCTTCTCCTGTAGATCTTCTTTTCTGAGCAGCTGGCAGATGGTGTATGGCACAGCACCTGGCAATAGGCTCACAGGAGAGGGTAGGATCTCTTCTGTTGGAGATGGGATACAAGTTTGGAGTCTTTTGTGATCTGGACAAGTTTATTAATAAGGTTTTCTGTCACTGATGGTGAAGGGCTTATGAGCAGACTTTTTCCTTCCCTGTCGACCTGAAGGAGGAACCATTGGTTAAGAGACAGAAGAACTGAGTTCAGTTGCTTTGGGACTTGGCCAGCAGCTCCTGTGCCATTGCTTCCCATATGTAAAAATTTAAAAACCCCCAACAATCCTCACATGTTCTGTAAAAGTAAACATTACATCAAAGGGATTAATCTCTATTGTCCCTACCAAAAAAAGCATATGGGAATGATCTTGGCTGGGGCCGTAGTCTGTAGTAAGAAGTATAACTTGCACTTTTGGCTTGAGACACTCTAAAGCACTGTAAAAAAGATGCATGTTCTGTGCTATGTAAACAAACCCAGTAATCACTTCTTTTGCTTGTGTCACACTGACTCGCTTCTCACTGTAACTAAATAAATGTGGGGTTTTTCTTTAGCTGGAAAGAGAACTTACGTATGAGAAGCTGATAGATTGGATCAATCCTGAAATGATGGACTCTACAGAGGTGATGGTGTCTTTACCCAGATTTAAGCTGGAAGAAAATTATGATCTGAAACCCATTCTGAGCTGCATGGGAATGCCTGATGCATTTGACTTGGGGAAGGCAGACTTCTCGGGAATGTCATCTGGNGAATATGCTGTTAATCTGAAATGAACCCATAGCATTCTGAAGAAAAAACATTCAAGCAGGGTGACCTTGGTTAGGCTGTATGAAATTCCTTATGCCCCCTTCCTTTCCTTTGGATGCTGTCTTTGTTGAGTTTCTGTAATGTTTCACGTAATTAATAGAAAGTTTAATATAATAAGTATTTCTTTCATTCTCTCTCTCGTTTTTCCCTTTAACCCTTCTTTGTTTGAGAAAGTTACCCCTCTACGTAATGACAGGACTTAGAACTGATGAGGAGAGAACACTTGAGTAACGTTGTCAGGTTATTTCAGTGTCCTGAACAATTTCACAGAATTAGTGAACTTGCTTATTTCAGCCTAAAAGTGGAGTTGATCAGAAAAATATATTTTCTTTAGGTTTTAGGCAGAAAAGAGCACTTATACTCATCCAGAAATTTGTATATCTATGTCTTCTTCACTCAGTGGTTTTTTGCTGCATTTCTACCAGTGAACTGATCCAAAAGAAATGGGAAAAAAATGTCCTGTGAAGACCTCCATGTTATACTCTCTTGCTTTTAGAAGCAGATCAGGGCTAGTGAGGAAGGCTTGGCTACTGTCATGAACAGGCCATGGCTGCCCCTCAGGATCCCCTACACCTCTGGGTTGGCCTCCAGTGTCAGGAACAAGAACTGCTAACATGCCTTCCTTAACTCACCTGCTTCAAAGAAGCATTATGCAGAACAGAAGCCCTCCTGGCTGACTTGCAAGTGTCCCTCCCCCAGTGGTGAAAAATATCCAAGAATGTTTGAAATGGTTAATACCACTTTTTCAACAGGGAATCTTACTGCTCACCCTATACTACCTACTGCAGCCCTTCAGAGAGTGCTGGACTGACTTGGTTTTGGGGACCTTGCCCTCTCACTGTTGAAATGTGTTGAAAAAGCTGGCAGAGTATCCAGAGACACAATTCTGTTTTCTCGTCTTTGGACCAAGGCAAAGCTAGGGCCAGGTTTCAAGATGTAACACCAACAGGATGTAGTGCTGGTGAATAATCTGCCTTTTGATTTGTGATGGAATATTGTGCAGTGCTACTGTGTATCGATGGGTTTTACCTGTTGCTTTAGAAAAGGCCGTGGTGGGGCTGTACTCCGTGGTGTGTGATTAGTTCTCTTTGGTCAAATTCTCGAAAACCCTGAATAACTGGCTGCCTGCTCTGTATTTTGAGAGCAGCACAGTAGCTCAGCACTAACTGTTGACATGTCTNTTTGAGACCCTCACTGCCACTGTCCAAGCTTGCTCGGCCCCAGTTCAGCGCACGCTGTGTCTCACCTAAAAAATCCACTGCGCAGGCTCGAAGGGTTAATGACCTTTCCCAAATCTTCGCTCGTGAAGACTGGCCATATATATATACTACCAGTGAAGTGATCCAAAAGAAATGGGAGAAAAATGTCCTGCGAAGACCTGTGTGGTTTACTGTCTTGCTTTTAGAAGCAGATCAGGGCTAGTGAGGAAGGCTTGGCTACTGTCATGAACAGGCCATGGCTGCCCCTCAGGATCCCCTGCACCTCTGGGTTGGCCTCCGGTGTCAGGAACAAGAACTGCTAACATGCCTTCCTTAACTCACCTGCTCCAAAGAAGCATTATGCAGAAGAGAAGCCCTCCTGACTGACTTGGAAGTGTCCCTCCCCAGTGGTGAAAAATATCCAAGAATGTTTGAAATGGTTAATACCACTTTTTCAACAGAGAATCTTACTGCTCACCCTATACTACCTACTGCAGCCCTTCAGAGAGTGCTGGACTGACTTGGTTTTGGGGACCTTGCCCTCTCACTGTTGAAATGTGTTGAAAAAGTTGGCAGAGTATCCAGAGACACAATTCTGTTTTCTCGTCTTTGGACCAAGGCAAAGCTAGGGCCAGGTTTCAAGATGCAACAGCAACAGGATGTAGTGCTGGTGAATAATCTGCCTTTTGATTTGTGATGGAATATTGTGCAGTGCTACTGTGTATCGATGGGTTTTACCTCTTGCTTTAGAAAAGGCCGCGGTGGGGCTGTACTCTGTGGTGTGTGATTAGTTCTCTTTGGTTAAATTCTCAAAAGCCCTGAATAACTGGCTGCCTGCTCTGTATTTTGAGACCAGCACAGTAGCTCAGCACTAACTGTTGACATGTCTATATTTTTAGAATGAGACTAAGCCTGTGCAGATGATGTTCAAGACAGATATATTTAAGATGACCTATATTGGAGACTTGCAGACCAAAATCCTTGAGCTGCCCTATGTCGGTAATGAACTCAGCATGATCATCCTGCTCCCTGATGCAATCCAGGATGGATCCACGGGCTTGGAAAGAGTAAGTTGTTGAGCTGAATGCAAAGACAGCCTGTATCCTTCCAGGAAAGGAAGTCTGGTACAGCACCTAGACAGGAAAGGGTAGGATCTCTCCTGTTGTGGAGATGGAATAAAAGTTAGAGCTATTGTGTGCTCTGGCAAGGAGTTTATTAATAAGGTTTTCTAACGCTGACTGTGAAGGGCCTTGTGAGCAGACTTTTTCATCATCCTGTCACCATAAGGACGAACCTTTGGTTGAGACAGAAGAACTGGGATCCGTTTCTTTGGGACTTTGTCAGCAGTTCACTGCCTTTGTTTCTCGTATGGAAGAATGTAAAAAAAACCCAACAAAACATGTTATGTACTATGTAAACAAACACGGTAGTTTCTACTTTTGGCCATGTAACATTGACTTTCTTCTCATATTAGTTATGTAAATTTGGGATTTTTTTTTTTAGCTGGAAAGAGAACTGACGTATGAGAAGCTGATAGATTGGATCAGTCCTGAAATGATGTATTCTACAGAGGTGAGGGTGTCTTTACCCAGATTTAAGCTGGAAGAAGATTATAATCTGAATCCCATTCTGAGCTCCATGGGAATGCCTGATGCATTTGACTTGGGGAAGGCAGACTTCTCGGGAATGTCATCTGGCAATGAGCTGGTGCTCTCTAAAGTGGTTCACAAGTCCTTTGTGGAAGTCAACGAAGAAGGCACTGAAGCAGCTGCTGCCACAGCGGCAGTAATGATGTTCCCAACCAGTGTAAGGATCATTCCGGATTTCACTGCTGATCATCCCTTCCTCTTCTTCATCCGGCACAACAAATCTTCCAGCATTTTGTTCTGTGGCAGGTTTTGCTCTCCCTGAAGAGGAGTTGTCTTGGCAGGATAGGGGCCATTACACAATAAAGATTTCTCTAGAATAGGGTGACTCCTTTTGCACTAATTGCCTCTTTGAGCTGTGCCTGAACCCTCTTCTGTGGTCTTGACCTGGGGCTTGGCAAGAATAACAGAGCTGCAAGTGGCATGTAAAACACCTCTCTCCCTGTGCACCTGTGTGGAGGTTCTTGCTGACAGAAGTAACATCCCACTTGCTCAGCAAAGGCTTCTCCTGTCCTTGACTTGACTTTTAGTGTCCATGAGGCCGAGTCGGGCACTGACAGCCCAGGAGAGAGCAGAAGTTACTTTTGCTTCTGACAAGGCTGGAGCATGTTTTTAGCTGCACTCCCCTTTCTTCTTCCAGTCCCATCCATTTAGTGCCTTGATCCATTCCCTAGAGCTGAAAGGAGTCTTTGGCAGCCTGTTCCAGGTGTTACTGAGCACCCTGCCTAGATGTTTTTTTTTTTTGTCTACTAACTGGACAAGGACTTGGTCAGGAATGGGAATGCAAGTATGTTTTTGTCCCAGATGTCCTTATGGGGTGTTTGTGGGTTGAGAACCTTTGTTTCATCACCATAGGACACCTGGGTTTATTACCTGTCTCCTGGTTCTAGTCCTTTAACAAAGAATGTGGTTTAATGGTATAATACCAACGACAGAGCTGCAACAGTTTCCTGACACAGGGCTGTGTTTTGAGCTTTCTGTTCCCGAAATAATAAAAGCACTGTAGGAGTCTGTTCCTTTTTTTAACCATAAATTGTGCATTTTTAAAAATCAGTTTTATGAATTAAAAACCCCCAATTTTTCCTTTATAGTATTACTTGCTTCTATGTAGCTTGTTTCATGTTCATTGTTAAACATGAGATTTTCTAGATTTTGAAACCTGAGCTGCTTAATTAGGTTGCCATGAAGTGAAGGAGTTAGCCTTGCAAGGCTTTCCGGCAAAGGGTTCCCTAAGCAATTGGTTGTTTCTGGGCAGGAGTGCAATACTGCCTCTTGTTTTTGTGCACAGCTGCAAATCAAGGTTTGCTGGTCGTCATCAAAACGTGCTAGATGGCCCTACCCTTAATTCAGTGCACAGTTACCCAGCTGTCTCAGATGAAGAAAGTAGAAGCATTATTCTAAGAGCAGGGTGGTGACACCGAACAGTTTTGTCACCAGGACGCATGTCATGCACTCCAGTTCAAGGGCTGGTGGTGTGCACCCGAAACCAATACAGGCATTGTGTGTTCTGGTGGCCAGACCGAGGGCTGTTTGAGATCAAAGATCGCGATAAGGCGAAGAAAACCCTCCATGCTTTTACTTTCTTTAATATGGGGGAAAAAAAAGGCAAAGATGACTGACCTAAAATTTTGAGCGTAAATAGAGACGCAGGGTGGGAAGACAGGGACGCGCTGCCCCAAGCGGCCGCAGTGCGCTTGTCCCATGGGGCTAAAAAACCCTCGATCCTGTACCGCTCGCGCAGGAGAGGTTTGTTGGTTATTCCCGCTTCCGAAGCTCCCCCTTTCCTCCGCCGGGACACCCAGGCTTCCCCCGTGGGCAGCGGGACGAGCGCGGTCGCGGGGTAACACCTGCGGCCCCGCCTCTCGCTCCGCCCCCTCCGCCCCGGCAGGGTCCCCTCGGGTGTCCCGGCGGTGTCACTGCCGGGCTCGGCTCCTTCCGATCCATCCCATCCCGCTCCGCTCCCGCCGCCCCGGCAGGTAGGCGGCCAGGCTGCCCTTGGCTGCGCTGCGGCTCCGTGGGGCTCCCCGGGGCATCCTACGGGAAAGAGGCGGTAACGGGACGAGACGGGGAAATTTTTCCTCCGCACTTCCGTAGCGGTGTGGTCTCTGCGGCGCGGGGGGCGCTTCTTGGGCAGCCTGGATGGAGGCTGTAAAACAGCTGGTTTGGGTGAAAGGCTTGCGCAGAGCGGAGTTCTAAGTAAACGGAAGTGCAAATACGCTTTGGGTTCTTATAATTTTAGGGATGTTAGTGGGCGTTCTTTAGCATAGAGCTCGATAAGAACGTTGCAAAGCTGTCGGCTGTTTACCCGTCTGTCGGAGGAAGCTGAAAGTGATATTCTGCAAATTCCTGTAGAAAGACTGTGCAGGAAACACGCAAATTGTGGTGTAAACTCTTCCACGCAGTTGGTCCAGGACAGAAACAGCCACACCGACAGTCCGGCTGCAAGCAAGCACAGAGCAGCCGGCATCTGAGCTGGGCGAGCAGGAAGGTTGTACAGCATCCAGCAGTACTGCCAGTGGCCTTTGGGTGTTTTTTTGTGCCTGACACAGCCCTTCCACCTTTCACCCGCTCCAAGGGCCTCCTCGTGAGCATCTCCCCAAAATGAATCGCTGCTCTGACCGTGCAGTGTCAGTCCTGACGCTTTTTCTGCTCTGCACTTCACTTCTGCCTTCGCTGACCGGTAGGTCACCTGCAGCTCTGAGAACCCCGCTCTCCCTGCCCGAGCCTTTAGGGCCGCCCAGCCCCCTTGGGAGTCGGGTGTGTTTGTTCCTGGATGCATCGGGCAGGCAGCTCTCTTGCTCTCGGCAGCGCAGGCTGGAGAAGACAGCGGTGTTTTGCGTACTGAAGGTCAGCGTACACGGAATCTTTGGCAGGATTAACACCTTTCAGGGCCTGGTTTTTGTGCCATGAAGACGGGCAGGTTGCTGAAAGGAGTCTGAATGCCCCTGAGCAGATATTGCGAATGTCCTCTGTGCAGGATGTGGGTAGAGGAGTTGGGGGAAAGCTGCTGGTGTGAGATCCTCGGGATGTGCTGGGTCTGTGAGGCTGAGGGACTTTAACTTGCAGTCCTACCAGAACATGGACTTCAAATTTCAGATCTGAAGGCAAGGAGTTTTTTCAATGATTCTTTAAAGTTAGTGTGATAAGAAAGATTGGAATATACAATTTACATGGAAAAAATCCCCTGCTTTTTCAATGTGACTGATTATTTTTTTTTGAGAAGAGAATGCACTGACAATGATATTCTTGCTGTTTCTGTACACAGCTGCAATCTGTTTAATCCAGACATTACTCTCTGAGTCACACAGAGTTAGGCAAGGTATTTGAAGAGTGTTTCCCAGGGTCCTTATCAATTGTTTTATTTTTCAGCTATAACCATGGAGAACCTGCCTAATGCCAACAGCAGATTTGCACTTGATCTGCTCAGAAGGTTTAGTGAGGCCAACCCAACAGGAAATGTTTTCTTCTCTCCTGTCGGTATCTCTGCTGCTCTGGCCATGGTGCTTTTGGGGGCCAAAGGTAATACAGAGGCCCAGGTGCTGAAGGTTAGTAAAAAACAAATAAAATTCTTTCATATTATATGTTATTTACATTAAAAATGGTTGTGTGTTAAGGCAGGAAAGATGAAAAGAGCATTATTTTTATATGCTCAGGACAAGACTTCTTTCATGTACACTGAGTCTTTCTCAAATTCATTTCTGCAGTTAGTTATCTTCTGCCTGCCCTGCTCCAGAGCCCTCTCTCTATATCTTCTATGACCCTTGTTGCTCATTTAATTTCACTTGTTGTTTCTCAAAGTAGGAAACTACATTAATCAGTCTCCTTTTAAATTGATTAAAATTTTCAGCAGCAAGGCCTTATGAGAGATTTTGACAAACTATTACTTTATCACAAAAGGTCACTGATAGTATGTTCACTGTTACAACACTGTATTTTGTAAAATGCACAATCATAATATATAGTTTTATATTTAAAGTGTAACAACTATGACAATACGTGGTATCGATGCTATCTAAGTATCGATATCTTAGTGAGCTAGGCACTCAGATATCTCTGAGGAGCTAAGCGTGCATGGTTATCCTTAGCATAGCCTTAGATTAGGTAAGATAGTTTAAAAAACCTTCCTTGTGAAAAATGGTGCACATAGGAGTGTTTCTGGCATGGAAAAGAGACTTCCTCACTATTATTTTTTGCACCTTTGTTAGGGTAACGCCTGTAAAAGGGCGTATGAGACTTTTCATTGGAGTCATCGTTGCCTATGAATAATTTCACCTTTGTATTCTGGACTTTAGGAGGAACTGTTTTATGCCGTTGAGTGTTGCTGTGCTTACTCAACAAGACAATAAAATTACTTTCTAGCTCCGTGTTCAAACAGACGTGAAACATTTTTCATGTAATCAGACTGACAGCCCCACCTAGGATAAACCTACTGACAGCAAAAATCATGCAAAAGGAACTTGGGGGAAATAAATGTGTTTCAACTCAGTCACCCTCAATGGGACATGTTCCTGTACCATAATACTTTACTTATGAACACAGTGCTAATTAAGGAGGCAGTGATTAGTAATTGTTGAGGGCTGTTTGCAAGCATACAGAAATTTGTTTCCATGATCATATCTTTATTGTAAGTTGCCTACATGATGTTTTTGCTCAGCCATTCATCTGTGCAGCACATCTTGCAGTAAGGTGGGCAGCAGGGCCTGATCAAAAACCCAGTGAGAGAAAGTGAAAGCTTTCCTTTGAATCCAATGACTGCTTCATAGCAGTCTTCCTACTGTGAAATGCATGGTTTAAGTTAGAATGTGAATGTCCCTACTTTGTTCTAGCCTTCTCTGTTTATGAGGTCTGGCAGCTTGTGCTGTCATATCTGTAAGCCTTGGCCAGACAGCTTGACTCTGGAAAAGGAAGTACTGGTAAAGAGAAATTTCAGTAATGCATTTGATTTTTCATTTATTTTGTTATTTAATTATATTTTCACAAAATTATAAAAGATAATTTTTTCAAGTTTTTTCAAGACCTCACCTGTGCTAGTGGTGATTGTATGTTCTGAAAAGCAAAACCCCAGGTTTTCTCTGGCCAAAGGGGGAACCAATAAAGCAAAAGTGTCTCCATGGCACCATCTCTCTTTTCAATTCATCACATGGGAATGAGTTCTTGGGCCCAGTGGTCCATGGAGAAGCATACAGACATCATACAGACAGGACGTGGGGTTCTGATCAACAGCTTCAGCTGTGACTGTGTGTAAACCAGGAGCATAATACAAGTGACTGACATGGGCTGTGTAGCACCAAGAAACAGTTTGATTCATTCTTGGAGGTTTACAGAAGTCTCTAAGCAGCTTCCAGCCTCTTCTTTTCTCTTTCTTCAACCTACCTACCTGTTGGATCAGACCTACCCTAGAGAGACACTCTAAATTCTTTTAAGACAGTATTAACAGCAGCTAGTTAATTTCTTTTATTTCAGACACTTCATTTTGACAAAGTTGAAGACATTCATTCAAGATTTCAGACTCTGACAATGGATATAAACAGAAGCAATGCTCCCTATCTCTTACGACTTGCCAGTCGGCTTTTTGGAGAGAAGTCCTACAGCTTTTTGCAGGTACGCTGGTGCCCCACATGATGGTGTGTGGTGGAACCTGGTGGGAAAATGCAACTATTTGAGTATTTATGAAGTAGAAGTATTTCCAGGCGTATTTCTAAATGTTACTGGGCAGCTGACAAAAGTATTGCTGCTTGCATATGCATTTTCATAGCTGTAGGCATCTGTGCCTCTCACTGAAAGGGTGTTACACAGCAAACCCTTCTCATTGCGTGTTCGCTTCTGCTGCTCTTGGGCTCAAGAGACAAATCACTTGTGTAGGTTTTTAGTTTACAGTAACTATCATAACATTCCACTCTGTTGCAAG